ACCTTCTGGAACTTCTTTCCCCTGCAAAAAAGTGTATAACTCCAAGGATATGTTTTGTCGCAGCACACTCCCAGGATATAAGCCTCAGACCTTAACTACAAACAAAACTATGAACGAAAACATACAAGCACGTGCTGCTTGGGGCGAATCTGAGATCTGCGACGAGAGAGCTTCCAATATTTTGCTGGGCCTTGACTTCGGTGTAAGTACTCTCCATCGAAATCTTTTTACTATTCCGAGTCGACCTTCTTGTTTCCGTTCTCATCGGCTTGCATGGCAAACTAGAAACAACGGTGCTAATTTTGGTGGTGGGGGGGGGGGGCACGCGGCGGCGCGGCAGTCTGCTCGCCTGGCATGTTCGGAAATCCGTGGGCCAGGGGGAGTGTAGGCAGTCTAGGGGGTGGGGGGGGCAGTCACTTGACATGCGTGAAAAGCTGGAATGTTCGAGTTTACACTGTCTCGCTCGAGAGAGCCCAGGTGAGCAGACTGCCGCGCCGCCGCGTGCCCCCCCCAACTAAGTTAGCACCGAATGTCTGTTTTCTCACACTCTTGAAAACCTAAGAATGTCGAAACATATGAATAGGAAGAGAATAAGATAGCACATGAAGAGAAAATAGAGCTCGGTACTCTCAAACAGGCATTCCTATCGTTGTTACTTTTTCAAAATTTTTACGACCCCCCTCCCCCAAGGTGGACTTGGTACGACCCCCTTTTCGACCCTCGACCACCATATTCCTCTCTATAGTATTTAATTCTGGTACCACTCAACCCACCAAACTCCGCCCACTTTTTCCTCCAAAAATGCCGTCGAGCGGGGGGGGTATATACGCGCGCTGAAACGGCGAATTTTTCTCCGCGCGCTCCTCACTCACCTACCTACTACTCGTGAAAACTCCACTTTCACCACAAACTCACATGTACTTTCACGCGACTGAAGCGGATACGACCCCCCCCCTCCTACAAACCTCAACCAGGTACGACCCCCCCCCCGTTGTTACTAGTAACAACGTAGGGTTGACCCTGCTCCCAGCCTCACTACTCCCTTCGCCAAATCTGAGCACTCGCTCTAACTTTCGTGGATCCTACGACTTAGAGTAACTGGTCCTCCATGTTTCCAGCGGATTTTCCTGTGATCCCATTCTTCGATAATCTGCTCCTATTTTCTTCTTCAATATTTATCCAATCCTTTTCGTAGAATCCAGATCCTCGTCGCCAAAACGTCAGTGATGCGGTCTAGCGCAGACTGGTCCCCTGTGCATTATCGTTAGATTTACCGCTTGTAGTAGAGAGTATGGGCCGATCCTTCAGAAACGAAGTCCAAGGGAAACATTCCGCGCACTCAACCTTACTTCATCCAGGCGATCGCATACATCAGGCAACAGCACCTACGTTTCCTTTCAGTCATTTCAATTCAAGAGCTATCGAAATAAGTGAAGCCTAAAAGTTGGCGCATATAGGCTTAGTCTTGGCTGCTACGGCAAACGGGCGATGTCCACCCAGTTCAGGTAACTGACCTGAGAAGAGAACTGAACCAGGCAAAGCCATACTCATCTAACGCTGGTCGTGAGAAACCATCATACAGTTCTGATCAAAACACAGTCACAAATATTTTAGAAGAAATACCACTTGATGAGGGTAAGGCAACTACCATTCAGGAAGTTTTACTTCAGAAATCAGAAAAGAAAAACAACAAAACAAAAAACAACCAAGCTCAACAAAAAAACAACAATTCAAGAACATCTACAAACCAAGCTGGAAAAAAACTCTTTACAAAAAATGAGCGCATAATTAGTTGTGCTTCATAACTAAGCTGAAAGCAACAAAAAATGAAAGCTTACTTCAACAACAAACAGTGAAAACCTTTTAAAAAGGGATTGTGGTCTATTCTAATGAGAAAGGGCATTTTGTGGTAAAACTCTACGTCTATTACAGTCTTCCCAATTACTGCAGAGAAAGGAAGCTCCGAGTGGGTGAACCATTCCATCTACACAGAGCGGAAAATGGGCTTGTACCACTTGTTCCAAACCTTCCTTACAATAGAAGATGGGTGCAAAGGTTCTGAATTTAAAATGTTTGCATCAAAATGCCCTCTCATATTAGAACAGTGGTCGAAAAAGGCCAAAAGATTGCCAGAGTTCGTCATAGACCAATTTGCACCCGGAATGCGGGACAAATTAGCACGGTAGCAACGCGAGCGGCAGGCTGAGCACAAGGGATCTTTGCAACGATACACACTTGATACGCAACAATTCCACAGCTACTCGCATGCCCAAATGCCACATAATATGGACAAGTCTGGATCCGTGAAGCTGATTAAGGAGGATCATGGGGTTTCAAGAAGCAAATTAAACATTTTGGTAGCATTCAGCGCGGCATCGATCCTCACTTGAGAATGGATTAGGATTGCTTCTCCTCATCATCACAACCTGAGCAGCAAACATAATTTTTTTGCACCTGCAAATGGAAGTACTTCGAAAACGGCTAAACTAACGACTCCAAAATGTTTTCATCACTGTTAGATAATAAAAACTACCAGTACCCTGTACAATATTCCTATTCTTAAACCATGTAATATATATCACCAGATCGCTAAATGTAATCTATTGGTTTGAAATTGGAAGTTAAACATGTGCAGCAGGGTGGTGGCAAGATGCTTTTTTCACTTCAGATTTGTCAGAAACAAAACTGAACATAAACATGCGCCATTTAAGGATGTTATTCAGTTGCCTCTCCATAAGCCCCTCCACAAGAACATCTAGTGTTATGAGGAAGAGGAAGGGCTCAGAGCTGATCCTTGGTGCACCCCGTGACGTACGTCCACCTGAATTGTCAGTTGGTGCGGTATGGGTGCATATAGCTGCTTTGGCTCCTCGTTGCTATCTCAACAGCGAGATTCGGTGTTTCTGACGTTTCGTTCCCTGAGCGCCCTCCATAGCACTGCTCGCGGTAGCCGGTCGAACGCCTTCTCTAGGTCGAGGAAGGCTAGGTGGCAGGGTCGGCGCTTTTCTCTGCAATTCTCCATTTGTTACCTAGCCATGAAGATGGCATCGTTGTGGATCTTTCCAGACATTAACCCGTACTGTTCCTGGGAGATGGCGAACAGTTCCCTCAGTTTCGAGTTGAAGCCGTTCGTACAACCTCATGTTATACGCAGCCAGCTTGATGCCGCGGTATTTGGAGCAATCCTCGCACAGTACCCGTTCGCTTGAGATGGGTGATATTCTGCTGTTGCCAGGCCACATCAGATCCCTTCTTCCGCCAGCTCCCGTCTTGAGGAAAGCGAATGAGCACCTCCTCGTGCTTCCAAGCGCTTCAGCCCAGATTGCGAGTACTTATCTAGGACCAATCGCCTTTCGAGCCTTCACCTTCCCAAATGCACACTGAACATCATCCTCTGACCAGATCGATGGAACCAGCTGTGGCCCGTGGGTTGTTCTTGTGGGGGAACTCCTCGTTCAGTAGTGCACTGTAGTACTCTTCCCATCTCCTCTGGACTTCGGCTGGCTTCCTTAGGATGACACCATCTCTGCTCTTTCACGCTCTTCACCACCCTGATGTCTTGAGTAGCCCGATGCCGGGCTTTGGCCAGTCTGAAGACGAACTTCTCTGCGTTTCTGCTTTCCAACTTCTCGTACAAGGCGTCCATCTCCGTGTTCTTTGCCTTGGCTACGGCGGCCTTAGCGAGCCTCTTGCAACTCTTGTAGGCAGCGAGGTCCTCGGGGCTCCGGGTCTTCTGCCAGCGCTTGTATGCTTCCTTCTTCTGCTTCACGACTCGCTGGACCTCCTCGTTCCAGAACCACGCTGCCTTGTCTCCTCTGAATCCACCTCGCGTCTCTCCCAGTACCTCCTTGGCGCATCGTAGGATGATCTCAGCTGCAAAGCCTGCTGCACTGGTCCCTCAGGATCTGGGAGACCAACTTCCATTATCCTTCGCTTGAGGTCACTCTTCTCTGCACGGTGCAACTTCCACCACCGGATTCTCTCTCGGTTCTTACCTTTGTCTTCTTGGGGAGCTCCATGGCTATGTCTGCCAGGAGTGGCTTGTGCTGGGAAGCCAGCTCCTCGTCAGGGAGTACCTTGACGTCCTTCCAGTTCTGAGTAGACAATTAACGAGCACAAGGCCGATTTTCCGTTACGTCGCCACTCCATCTAGCGGTAGACGACTTCTGAAGGTCTCTCTTTTCCGCGAGAAACGTGACCTGCAGATTGCAGGCAGTGGGCCGTAGCAGGTCTAGAACTCTTCTCTTTCTCACTGTCGGCGCTCTCATCTCCCTATTCCTCTACCGGCCGTGCACCTTTCCATAAAACTTCTCCATACTAGCCGACGTTGCCTTCAGATCACCTGCTATGGTGAGGTAGTCACCTTCCGGCACAAAAGTGCATGATATGTGAAATTTTCCCCTCTGACAAGCATACTCATACTATCCGAACTTGCAACAGTGCAACTAATGGAAATTAAAAATGAATAAAAAAAGGAAATCAACAACAGGAAATGAAGCACGCGTTATGGACTCAGTAGATCTGAACTCTATACGTGTGACTCCACTTTGTAGAGAGGGGCAGAAAAAAACGAAAGTATCGTAGAGTAGCTCCGAAGTTTGAACACCCGGCTGCACCTTGCCAGTGAGCGGCTCCAGAAGACGTCCATTCAATGTTGGAGCGAAACAAAGAAGTGGACCATGGCAACGAAAAGACCACTAAAGATAGGTCTCAAAAGCTGAGTTCATCATCAATGTGCTGTAGGTTGGATATCCACTCAAAAGAAAAGCGGAAAATGTCTATAGCTTGGGTAGAAGCGAACCACCTCTACACATTATTTTCTCAATTTCTGAGCGATTCCACGTAGTATAATTGCTAAATAGGACATGGGATTTGCTGCACTGCCTTCGTATAATGTATGCTATACGAAGTTATTACGAACTGAAAATCAAGAGCGAAATGATGACAGTGGTAGCGAGCTTTTTTTTAGAATGAAAAACACAATGGAAATTCCTTTCACTCACCCTAAAGACAGGAGTCACTCCATCCTTGAAAGGTGAAATAAAGACAGGGGATAACACCGCCACCTCGTAAATGTTTCTGAATATTACATTGTTTAGAGAGTGACAACTGAACGAAGAAACTTTGCTAGCTCCGAAAAAAAAAAAAGAACGAACGAGTGTTTATAGATAGTGTCAAGTATCCGTAGTGGAACGATAGCCTCAGGAGAACTTTTACAGATTAGCTCACCTAAGAATCCTCTTCCGACTACTGCGCATAATTCCACGTGAGCAAGCGCAGAATAGGTGTCCCTCTTCGTAAAACAGGCAGCCTGAAGTATCAATCAACAAAACAGGTATAATTTTCTCATGCACTGCATCCACATTCTGCCAGGTTCCGGTCACCTCACCAGTGCTCCTTTATATTCTCTTGTCCGAAAATTGCTTTGATATCTTGCACCCTTGATTTCTTGATATAGGGTTGGCGAGTACAAATTATCAAACTACCACTACTGTGAAACCAAAAAGGTATTAACGGAGAGGCTACACGAGAAGATGGCAGTATATAAGAAGAAATCCTTTCCAGAAAGACCCGCTAATTAAGGACGTTTAAGTAAACGATCAAAATCGGAAAAATTCAGGGAAAAATTCCAAGTTATCTAGTCGTCCGAGCCATAGCTCCCGACAATGTACTATTTTTGTATTTCAACAGCGCAGATCGATCGATATTGTTGGCATACGAAACTGAACCTCAACAAGAATGTCATTTTTATGGTTTAGATGAGAGGGTGAGAGGTTCAACTGTGAAGTTTAGAACTTTTCGCCTTTTGAGCAAGCAGTGCAAAGGTGGGCAGTGGGAAGCGGTGCCGCCTACCATTGGCACGATGCGGGGCTCAACTCTGGAATCAATGTCATGAAGCCAAGCACGCCTTCCATCGCTCCTGTATTGATAAAGTGGCAGCAAACTAATCTGAGTGGATGATGCTGCCCTGTATTACATCTTCGACCGTCCGTACCTTGGAGGATGGTCGTATTTGTGATTTGGGGATGGGGTTAATATTATATTCTGGGTTCACAAGGGTCGACCGTCCGCTCGAATATGCTGCGGTGTCATATTTCTGGAAACTAAATGAGTGATACCGTTAAATTTTTGAAATCGGCTAAAAATGACGGATATCCTCCTTGTGACGCTAATCCTCACCCCATCCCCAAGTGATTATAACTGGGGATGAAGAAGGAATGCGGGATGTCTTTGTTGGAGAGATCGATGACATCATTTAAATATGCACGTTATTCATGTTCAAAATGCTACCTCTCTTCATTGGCCAACAGGTCATGGAATGTTGCACCTGCATTCAATAGCGTTTTCAGCAGAGTTCCGTTTCCATAGGTGTAGGCAATGTCTAACGGTGATAGACTATTCTTATCCTTCCAACATATTGGTGACCCTAGCTGAAGGAGAGTCGAGACGCGACAAACCTTAACAAATTCTCTATGGATAGTGGAAATCGGGTAATAGGCCTGGTAGCTACGGTTCGCAAAAATACTCACTTCGCCTTTCTCAACTGCTATGTGTAGCGGAAGTTTTAGTAAAGTGTCTTGCACACGCAACAATTCTGGAGCCCACTTCGCCAAAACAACGACAAGATCGTCCCCCTCATGGGTGTTACTGCATACGGTATTGCGACAAACCTGGAAAGGAAACTAGGGCATGCGCAGAAAAAAAATTGAAAAAAAAGATGCTCTATGCAAAGCAAATATCGTAGAAAGTCACTCCAAAATCTGGGCAGGAGCTAGCGGCCGTAGATCTAGCTAGGCCTTAGCTTACGCCACAGGGTAATATTCTTACGATATCCTTTTTAATCATGATGAAAAGTGACAGGAAAATGAGTACTTTGGAATTGTAGCGATTTTGTGAGCCCCATACAATCGAAACATACCAGGGTATGACTTTTGCTAATGCCCACCTTCGACTATGGATGCTTCCCTTGTGTATAAAATAGCAAGCTTGCAACTGCAAAAAAGGTGACAATACGCCTGGTCGCAAACTATTCTAAAGGAATGCGAGCAGCAGTAATCGAAAAAAGGCACCAGCGGCTATAGAATATGCCATGGAATAAAGATTGAAAAATTGAAGGGCAATAAAAAAAGCGAGAGTCTAGGAGTTAGAGATGAAACAATAGACAACGTAACTTCGAGAAAAACAATCAAGTTACCACATGGATCAGTGTGCCTCCATTTTCATCTCGCCATTTGGAGATCACAGAGTAAATAATGCCGCCGTAATCAGTCCCCGCGTTGAGGGCGCAAAAATGCTCAGTCGCCCTACGAAATCGTTTGAAGTCACCAGCTCTCACTGCAGTGATGATTTCCTTCAAAATTCTCCAGCATGAAATCGGCCATTAATATCGTGGAGAGGAGGTAATCAAGTTCATTATCTTACTTCCGGATCAAATGAGAGGCGTTTAGGAGCATACAGATTCACAGCTTCCTTGTACATTTCTTCACGACATTCTTGGAAAGATGTGTAAGAAATGGGTCCTGGAAGAAGGGCAGCCATGCTGCGCCTTGGCACCTTAAAACAATATCGTTTCAATATCAATCTGATATTAGACAACATAATCCTAACATTTCAGGAAATTCTTACGCTGCAAACAATTTCTGAAAATATTTTACAATGTAAATTCAATAGGTTCAAACTGGTTAAAAATCAGTGCTTAGTAATCTCTTAAAAGCTCCAGAGCAGTGACCAAATAACACTGTTTGAATAGACCGAAGAGCGCATGATAGGCTTTTATCATGTAGGTCAGAAAACAGAGAATGCAGGGAAAGAAGTTACCGCTAATTATAATTCTAAAACGTGCTTTCATAATTCAAAACGCACCATTCCGGCATTTTGATAGTTCTCTCTGTGCATCACAGGTAGAGCCATATCAAGAAAAGTTAGATCCTATGTGAAGCAATCCCACTCGTACTACGAGTGTGACTTGTAAGTGGTAATGGCGACGATTCTACTGTAGTGAACTATGTAAGGTTTAGTCGCATGAAGAAAAGCTTAGCCATCAGTTACAATAGTAGATAAAAGTAGTAGCAAAATAATGGACGCTGGCGGCTGGCAATGGCCGCTCCTGCGCGACGGCTGCCTCGGATTTCCGTCACCTCTGCACTAGTTAACACCTCTACATATTCTTTAGCAGTTTAGTGCTACTAGAACTAAACTACTATTACTGCAGCAGAACACTAGTTCCTGCTACTACATCTACGGAAAAATGAGTCAGGAAGTGGGGCGATCAAACAATCCAGCAATTCATATCAGATATCAATTTCGAGTGACGTTCCTGGTGTATCCGCTTCGAGACGTCCCAACGAGTCCTGGAGAAATGAACTGAAGAAACGCTAAAGTGTGTGCTGTCCTCGAGGTTAGACTTGGAAAAATCTCTAGCCAACCTAGGTCCTTGCCAAATTGCGCTGGACATTTTAACAATAAATTCAACCTCGATCCACACCCTCATTTAGCTTCCGTATCCAGTGCACCTCTATGAAGGAAATCGTTAAGCATAGTCTACATTAAAGTCATATCGTGGTCTGACGCCATCCTCAGAATACGGCAGATCTCGGAAGAAAACCTATAGACGGTTGGTCAGGCTAGGAGTCCCGTTCATTACGGAAGGAGTGGAATGATTCACCAAATAGATCATTAACCCCAGCTCGTGACAATGGCAGCCACCGGTGGCTGACAAAGATCTCACTTGTACAATGGTATCCACCGGTGGCTGCCGTGTTTCAAATGGAATTTGGAAAGTTTTCTTTCCTGAAAAGAATCTTCATACCCTCATTCATCTATGCCAGCCTTGGGCACGGGGAATCTCCATCCACTCAAATTTTATTGAAGAAAAATCTCCTGACTCTCCTGCTAATGCGCAAACCGGCGCGGTCGCGAATGGGTTAATACAAAAAATATGCAAAAAAAACTACAATGAATTTTACGATGCAGTGAGCTGTGATCTTTGTTGCGTAACTGTTTTTTATGCTCGATATTTTCACCATATTTGTGCCACTGCATATCTATGTGCATTTTTTAAGAAATTGAATTCTTACAATTTTACTGCTGAGCAACCGTTCGACCTCATTATCCCCCAGATCACCAGCTCCAGGCACAGACGATGTGTTGTCTGCCTGATCAGTATCTGGAATTATTCAAGAATTAACTGCAACATCAGAGTTTTTTCCATAGAAATCTATAACAATGTTCGCGCACCTTTTGTTGGATATCTCTTAGTGACTCGCACGCGTTGTGGCTGAAATAGGTTCAATTTAGCAAACAGCTCTCGTAAAGAGGAAATTAGTTGCTGTGGTGAACTCTACTTTGGAACGAGAGATTGAATAGGCATTTTCAATCTCCTGCTGCTTGCTAAGAGCTAATTCTACAATGTCGACGACTGAAGACGACGCACTAACACTTTCTGATGGAGAAGAGCGCTGAAACGATCAAATGTAACTTCAAAAAAAGAGAAATGAACATAAACTAAACAAATCTCAAGGATTATCATGAAAAAGGAACCCGAGGAGTCTGTTCCTACTCAGAGGCAGCGATTACGATAAGGAAAGAAGCGCATCGGGAAGCATATGCACCACACGAAGCAGTTACTTGGCTGCCAAGGAAGCGAGGTGTGGCGCTTTCACGACGAAAGGTGCGCTGGTTGAGCAGGACTTCGAAAGCACTCCGCCCCCAAAAGCGATCCGCCCACTAGTTTAGTTGGTGATTTGGACGAGCTGCGTTGCCAGCAGCGGCACAACTGGAGCAACTCGATTGGAGCGTGGTTTGGCATGTGCCACCAAACGCGTTGCCGTGAACTCGTTCATACGTCCGATTTCTGAGCTGTTACCTGTTCATGAGTGAAAAAGAACGGCCAAAAAAGGGTCCCGTTTTGCGTTTTCTTGACGGATTTCTCAGCTTTTTTCGCCACTGCGTGCCATTGAGCACCACCACGTCTCCTTTGAACCCTTCTCGATCTATCGTAATCG